CCACTGTGATTGTGTCTCTCAGGGTGGCTTTGAAACAGAGGCATACCATTCCCTGTAAATGCAGGAATGATGTGCTGCATCATCACACAACAAAGAAATCTATTGCTTTGGTCCTGAATATGGGAGGAGAATAAATTAAAACACTCAAAAGGAAAAAGAGGGAAAGAGGAATGGTGCAGAGACTGGATGATAATCATAGCCAACAAAACAAACCAGGAGGAATGTCAAGGCAGTACCATGCTAGAACTGGGTAACCTGAAGGATGGATGGCAGGGGGTTGCAAAGGAGTTCTGAAACATTCCTGTTGCATTAAATAATAAAATTAAAAGGCAAGATTTAATACGTGATTTCCTCTTCCAATAAAGCTGCAGAATAATCTAATGAAATGATAGTTATTCTGTTTACACTCCCCCAAGACACTATCAAAGCTCTACATTCTCAGCATTGCACTCTACCTTGCCAAAGCCAATGGATCATTAAGATCCCATGACAAACACCTGTCACATCACACCATACACCACGGACATCACTAAGGGACTGAGGTCTCTTCGTGCTCCAGGAGAAACGAGGAGAGCTTGATTTACCCAAAAAATATCAGTCTACAAACCACACTACTGTTCTACGGGAGAGCATCAAAGAGGCTTAGCCTAGGTAACACGTGTTCTGAGATATTATTAACATTATAATTTTTATTACAAGAAAATGACAATTACAGGGCTTGGAGACAAGGTTTGTATTTTTTTTTTTTAATCTTTGAATAGTCTAGGGCAATCCTGAGAAGGGTTTTTATCAATCTGAGACCTTAATACGACTTTGTAGTAGCTGACGAAAACAACAGCTGTTGAGCCTGGCAAATCCAAATGAGATTATGAAACACAGAGAACATTTCAGACCCCAGCACAGGGACCCATACAACACCAAATAAAAATCTTATGAGGGAAAGAAACATTTTGTTTAAAAATATTTTTTTAAAGATGTACCAAGGACTTAACTTCCTTTCTTCCACGTTTCCAGTCAAACTCCACAGCACACGGTCCCTGCATAACCTTACACTTATTCTCCACAAGCACACAGAGATTTCAAACATCACAGCTTGCTTGCTACCTCAACAGCAAGGTCATAACAGAGCAACCTTTCTTTACACAGACTGTTAAGTAATGAGACTGGCCAAGTCAAAAACTTTGTTACCTCTCAAGTACACTGGAAAAAGGCCAAAGTTTAAGACATGCTAACAAATAAGATGAAAAAAAATGTTAACCTTCCAGTCATAAGTTTCTTTGAGCACCCTAACACCTATGCACACTAATTATCGTACTGACACCCATGAAGACAATTAGCCTCAAACACTTCTCATGGTTATTTATAACCTCCATACCTCAATGTATACACTAACAAAAATGACCATGTTTGACTTCCTCATCTGTGGGACAATGATAAAATTCATGGGCTATTCTGCTCTGATCCTGGGGCCTAGTAATAATTTTTTCTATGATTGGAGAGATGGCTTGGCAGTTAAAGAGTACTTGCTACTCTTGCAAATTACCCAGGTTTGTTTCCCAGAATCCATATGGTGGTTCACAACCATGTATGACTCTAGTTCCAGAGGATCCAACACCTGGTTCTGAGATCTGCAGGCACCAGGCATGTTCAAAGTACATTTACATGCAGGCAAAACATATACACTTAAATCAATAAGTCTAAAAGTCTTTTATAAATCCATAAATCCAATGTATCTGTATTATTCCCATGCAAGCCTAATTTCACAGCAGTGATTTGGTTCCACTTTCACAACAGCAAGGACAAAGTCTGTTAAAGTCTAGTTGCTGAACTGACACATGTCCATCAAAAGACAAGTTAGAGATTTCCCTTCTAGCTCCTCCCAGGTAGACAGATGAACAAAGTCCTATGTGAGGACCCAGCCCTAAGAAGCCATTGAGGGGAGGCAGAAATCGTGGATAAACTTGGTGCAGTCAAAGCATTGGAGTATTTTATGATTAGATGATAAAATGTGGGAATCCCTGTGCTTCCTAGCAATTAACTGAACGCTGACAACACCCCCATGGAGTTTTCTTACATAACACAACCAGTAAAAATGACATAGTATAACTAACACCCATGTGACTACTGAAAAGACATGAATCAGCACAAGACACCCCAAGTCCCAGGTAGAGGACAGCTGACAGAGGGACTGTTCTGTAACCCTGAGACTCATAGCAGCTACAGAGGAGGCAAGAGATGAGCTACTGTGGGGACTATGCCCCAGAGTTCACAAGCTTGCCAGAGCAGAGGACTCTCCTGGCCTAAAGGTGGGCATGGGTTCAAGGACAAGAATCAACCTGGAGGTCATGAAAGTAAGGCAGGTTCAAAGCCAGTATCCTTGTTCAGTCCCATCTCTTGAGTATGCAGCAACAGCTACTTTATACCCAAGTTTCACATGTCCCTGTAACATTAGCCTCTTTTAAAGGTTACCGCTAAAGACTACATTCCACAAACTTAGATGATTATCAATGTTAGGAAAGTGGTTACTGAAATTATCTGTAGTCACTTCTCTTATCATTTAGGTGCCTATCCCTGGCTGCCTTCCAAGTCCCCAAATAGCCAAAGACAACAATGAACAACTGTGCTTCCTATCTTCCAAAAGTGGTGGGCACATGCTGCACCACTGCTTACCGATTGAGAGAGATCCAGCGCTCTGTAAAACTGACCAACATTCCCAACCTGTTTTGTTTGAAATGGGGCCTTGTGTAGCCCAGACAAGCCTGTAAGTGCATGTGTAGCTGAAGATAACACCCTGAACCTGTAATCCTGCCTATACTTCCCATGTGTTGGCATTACAGGCATGCCTACTATACCAATTTCAACGTACCAATGGAAGAGTTCCGGTACTGTCAACCCTTTTCCAATCAATACCCAAATGAGCTACTTTGGACACACAGCACAGTAGATGCCCACAAGGAGGCTGAAAATGAACTCATCCATCCTACCATCATCAACCTTAACATTATCCAAGACAGGCAGCCTCTCAGGATGCCAGCTTCATCGTTAATCAAACCAGGAATAATTCCTGCTGGCCTAGTTTCTACTTCCACACTGATGACAACATCAAAGCAATGGCATCTCCCTCCACCCACAAGGTATCAGGGAATGGTGGCCTATGGCAAAGGAGGCTGCTCACAAATATACCTTCTGTTCTTCTGGGCCACAGAACCAGCCAATCTCACCTTCCGTATCCTAGCTCCCAGAAGACAACAAGCCATCCTGACTGCAGAGCTTCCTTATCTCAGCAAACTGCACCTGTGGGAGTCTACTCTATTCTCCACTTTCTTTAGACCTCTTCTCATCAACTGAACTGTGAGAAGACAGTCTCTGGGAGAACAGCATAGCACTGGACCACCTCTGAAAGATGACAAAATGTGGGAGTTTTTTTTTCTGTTTTTCGAGACAGGGTTTCTCTGTGTAGCTTTGGAGCCTGTCCTGGCACTCACTCTGGAGACCAGGCTGGCCTTGAACTCACAGCGATCTGCCTGCCTCTGCCTCCCAAGTGCTGGGATTAAAGACGTGTGCCACCAACGCCTAGCCAAAATGTGGAACTTATACTAACAATGTTAAATGTCACTAAGCACAGTTGACAATAATCATAATAGGATTCTTCTGATAAAAGAGATTAATCCATCTAAGGTCCCCCCCCCCCCAAATTTCTCTGTTATTAGTCTCTCCTATTCCATCCCATCTGGGTCTCTCAGGATGACTTTCCTTTACCTCCAGCACAGCCACATTGCTGCCACTGTAGCTTGCCCACACAAACCTTGCATCATGTTCTTCTCCCTTTTTGTCCTGGGACCATCCTTTGGAAAGCCATGTGCTGGGAACCAGGTTAAAGAGGAGGTTCCAAGCACAGCTCAAGCTGAGCCTGGGCCAGAGTCAGCATGGACACTCCAGATCCCACCCCAGTGCCTGCCTTTCTCAAGCCACAGAGTGGGCTTGGACATACAATGCACTGTTGTATGTTTAAGATGTAGTGTGCCAAAGACTCCAAACACACCTTCATGTCCTTGTTGGAACCATCAAAACAACTAATGAATACAAGGTCACTGGGTGAGAAGGAGCCCTAGAGGCAAAGAAGCAGGACTAGACGGAGTTTGAGTTCTCTCACATCACAGAGCAAGCAGCAAACCCATACAGCAGTTCAAGACTAGTACAGTCCCTGTACTAGTACAGAGGGACTGTACTAATCTTGAGTAAGTGTGGTTCAAGCATAATTGAGTTATTACATCACTCTAGGTTTAACACTCTTAACCCTCTTGCTTCTAGCAGTGTTTCTAGTAATTAATTTTTGTTACACATAAGCATTTATCTTACCATTGTGCTTTCATTTTCATTTGTAACCAAGCTAATAAAATGCACATGTGGTTTGGTCTGCAATGGATGAACCATGACTTTAGAACCTAAAATACAGCATTGAGTTATTTCATATTGTACATGCCATCTAAACAAACAAAAATATGAGCAATAAAATGTAAAACAATAAATTTAAAACCAGGATTATTTAGGATTGAGCAACTAGGTCATTTTGCTTAATATCTGGGTAGTTTATGAGCACCTGGGAATGCAATCCTTAAAGATTCAATGTACAAAGAATGAATATGCACATAGGTTAAAAACAAATCGTGGACAGCTGCTGGACAGCTGATTACAGAAGTCACAAATTTTCACAAAATCTAGAGACTATTTCATTGTAATTTTAAAACAAGCATGGAATAAATGCGCATTAATTGACTGCATTTAAAAACTTGGGGGGGGGGGACAAAATACTGTGAACTCTTAGTTATCAGGGCTGCTTTTTATGAAGTCAGAAGAAAATCTGATAAAAAGCCAAGTAGCTTGAAGAGGGAACATCCCAAGCAGGCAGGTCTCCATTCAAAGACTAGGTTGAGAAAAATGTGAAGTTAAACAATACAGTTTGTGACCAGTAAGTACTGAAAATTTCCCCAAATACTCACTGAGTAGCAGAGTTAAAGGATGTCTGTACTGAAGACTCGTCACAGACTTCTGTGGGTCATTCCTCCACCTCTTCACTCCTGGGTAATGAAAGGACAGAAAGCATCAGCCCAGAGCCCAGTATCTCTTCCAGTGGGTTGCTCCAGTTCTGCCACCCATGACAACTCTTATTATATATGCCATGATCTCCATTGTGACTATGCTCATCACCATGGCAACAAGGCACACACACAGATGAAAAAGCAGGCTAGAAATTCCAAACTCTTGGGGTGGAGATGAGGATGGGAGAGGAGGTCCTGGCTCACTGAGAAAAGGCTACAGAGTTTCTTCTATGAGATTGGTCTATGCATTAAAGGGTAAGTCTAATGGGGAAAGTAGGCTTTGTATCTATTAAATCAACAATAGAAAAACTATAAAAGTCAGTAAATGAAGGCCAGGTGTGATAGCACATGCCTTAGTATTCTGGGGGCAGAGGCAGCTGGATCTCTAAGGCCAATCTGGTCTAAATAGTGAGTTCTAAGACAGTCAGGGCTATGTGGAGACCCTGTCTCAAAAAAAAAAAAAAAAAAAAAAAAAAAAAAAAAAAAAAAAAAGAAAAGAAAAAGAAAAAGAAATTCAGTAAAAGCCACTGTCTGTTTATAGGAGGTAGAATGATAAACATCTTGGATTATAAAGTTTTACTAAAAATTTGAACATGCAAATTAAAACCTTTAACTGCTACCTACTTTTGGAAATCATATACTGATCCAAGGGTGTGGATAATAACAACTTTTAACTTTTGGTTACTTTGTAGCACTGAAGGAAGTGTGGTCGAGAAGGTAATGCAATGATGAGTTCTTTGTAGACAAACTTAGCTTCCAAGCTCCTGTATAAAATATGCCCAGAGGAAATTCCTGGGTGGGGTTGACTTTTGTGTCACTGTGAGGAAGTCACTGTGTCTGCTCAAAGAGGGAGGCGGCTTTCCCCCACTACCAGCTCTTCTACTACCATCTACACATTCAGGCCTTCTAACCCTACCACTCTGTTCCTTTAAAGCCTCAAGAAGCCCAGTGTCCAAACGAAACACTTTCAGCCCATCAGTGGTGGTGCACGCCTTTAATACCAGCACTTGGGAGGCAGAGGCAGGCAGATCTCTGTTAGTTCTAGGCCAGTCTGGTCTACAAAGTCAGGTCCAGGGCAGCCAAGACCTCACAGAAAAACACTGTCTCAAAAAGCCAAACCAAACAAACAAAAATCAACACTCTTTTCTCAAGGTTCCCATCTCCCTGATGTGTTTTTTATTTTGTTTTGTTTTTCCTTTTTGACCACCATCTTGAGCTCTTGTTCATCCTTTTCTGGGACATGTAAATACTTGTGATTTATTTATATTTCTCCAAGAAAGCACTGGCGGGTTGAAGGTCTGCTGTGGGCCTGTCCCCCAAGACTGGTGTTTCATTGTAACCTTACACAGAAGAAGGGCAGACCAGCTCCTTTGTGTGGATATTCATCTCACACCATTCATAAGGACTCCACCCTCCTGAGCCAATTTCCTCCCAGAGGCCTAACCTTTGGGGTTAGGTTCTCACTTGCAAATTCTGGGAGCCAAAGACCTTAGGTATTTCTCAAAAACACTCGAAAACAAGCCATTACAAGATCACCAGGTACAATAAATGCTTTTTTTTTTTTCCAAAAATTTTTTTTTTTTTGAGACAGGCTTTCTCTGCGTTCTTCTGGCTGTCCTGGAACTCACAATCTTACTGCCTCTGCCTCCTGAGTACTGGGATTAAATCCGTGCACCACCCACGCTCAAGCTGTAAATGCTTTAATATATAAGTGACAGAAATATAATCAGTGATGTTCTTGAAATTCAGGACAGATTTTCTCTAAGTTGTTGAGAGAAGGAGAGTTGGGATCAGCTGCCAAATGTCTTCTCCCAGAGGGTGGCCCAAGAAAGGCTGCATTCACAACTCAGTCCTTGTGGTAACTTGAATGTAATTGGCTCCCATAATCTCATAGGAAGTGGCACTATTAGGAGTGTGGCTTTGTGGAGTGAGTATGGACTTGTTGGAGGAAGTGTGTCACTTTGAGTTTTCCTATGCTGAGGATACTGCCCAGTGTCTCAGTCAACTTCCTGTGCCTGCAAGATGTAGGACTCTCAGTTACTCCTCCGGCACCATGTCTGCCTGCACACCACCATGCTCCCTGTCATAATAATGGACTGAATCTCTGAAACTGTAAGTGAACCATTCCAAGTAAATGTTTTATCTATAAGAGTTACCATGGTCATGGTGTCTCTTCACAGCAACAAAAAACCCCCAAGACTCTCTTCTACACACGCATTATTCCATAAGGAAAATGTCCTGGGTCTTTGCAGGGCCCATACCCTTTCACATGTTGCAGTTAATAACCTCTTCCTGAGAACATATTTAACATTCTTGATAAAATGATGAACTTTCCCCCTTTTAATAGGATTAAGATATAGCCTTAGAGACCTTTAGTCTCAGCACTCAGGAGACAGAGGCAGGCACATCTCTAATTTCAAAGCCAGCCCGGTCTACACAGTGAGTTCCAGGGCTAGTTATTGTAGAAACCAATCAACTGTTGAACCAGCTGACTGCCAGCTAAATTTTAGCCATTTTTGTAGGGAGAGATGTTCTGGTAGGTTCCATCTCCAGATAGTTAACCTTTGCCTGAAATTATCTCTGTCACTGATGCCTGGTGTGGGGTCCCCTGCCCCCAAACTATTTTCTTTATTTCTCTTTTCAAATCCACTGTTTTCCCACATTACAGTTGAAGAGCAAACCCTGTTCTCAGCAGTCAGCTCACAGTGCCTTGCCTTGGGGGCACAATTTTCAGGTCACTGAGCGAAGGGTCATTTTGAAATCTCCTAGGGTTATGGGTGTTGAGGAAATGAAGACTCTGACCAAGAAGCAAGTCTTCTGGCTTGGGGGAGAGTTGTCATTTCTTGGCTTGGAGCAGATGTGGAGGAGGGAACTACTGTATTAGCTCAGCCTTGAATCCCCTCCTCCCCCCGCCCAATCTATCACTAGCTAACTCGTGACAAACACTCACCATTTTAAAAGAGTGCACCGTATGGTTCTGGTCCCTTCTCTCAGCTATGTGGAAAGATTTCTTAAGCCTTTGATTACATAGTCTTATTTTGCCAATAAATAATACTTACCCACATATAATAAGCTTTGAAATCCTCATATCTATCTCATGAAGGGACAGTTTTCCAACAAAAATTTCATCTCTGTGTGGTGTGTGTGTGTGTGTGTGTGTGTGTGTGTGTGTGTGTGTGTATTTGAGGGTGTGTGAGTGAATGAGTGAGTATGTGAGTATATGAGGGTGTGTGTGAGTGTATGAGTGTATGTGAGTGTATGAGGGTGTGTGTGAGTATATGAGTGTGTGCATGAGTGTGTGAAAGTGTGTGCATTTGTGACTATGAGCCAGGGCATCTATGTGGACGTCAGAGGAGAACTTAGGAGTCTCTCCTTCCACCATGTCAGTTTCAGGGATCAAATTCAGGCCTTCAGGCTTGGTGGTAGATACATTCATCCACTGAGCCATCCCACCCGGTCAATCACCAAAGTTTTAATAGACTTGATTGCTAGTTGTATCCGAAGTAAAATAACTCATTTTTTAAAGGTTCTATAGTATTTAAAGCTTAGTTGTGATAAGAACTGTAGAAATACATTAGCTATACTGTGTTTGCATATATGTGTCAAAAGAATACAATATGCCGATCAAGGTAAGACTTCTAAACACATGCATGTCACACCAGGATCCCACTTCAGAGAAAATGAGTTTCATGATCAAAACAACTGCATAAATTTCCTGAATTTTTAAATAAACAGTGATGGACACCAAGCCATTCTGGTATTTAATTTAGCTTCTATTGGGAATATTTAAGTTATTCCTGTTTCTTTAAAAATCAAAATGTCATATTCAGCTGGGCGTTGGTGGCTCCCGCCTTTAATCCCAGTACTCCGTACTCGGGAGGCAGAGGCATGTGGATCTCTGTAAGTTCAAAGCCAGCCTGGTCTACAGAGAAAGTGCCTGGACAGCCTCCAAAGTCACAGGTTTCTCGAAAAAAAAAAAAAAAAAGTCATATTTGTACTTATAAAGTAATGATGAAAAATATTAGCTTCTATCTTTACACACATGACAAAGGCAAGCTCTCATAGGCTCTGCTCTAAATACCCAAGCCTCAGGTCTGTGCAAACCACCTAAAACCAACTTCTCATAGAAAGAAAAGGCCAGGGTTGTGCCAGAGAAGTACAAAAGCTGTGTCCTGTATCCCTGTCACCAAATCAGGAACCTTGAGTCATCTTCATGTTCAGTAATCATGAGGTCATTGACCCTACAACCCATCCCAGTTGCCATTTTGGCAACTTGACACAGACTAAAGTCACCTGGGAAGAGGAGATCTCAGTTGAAGAAACACCTCCATCAGACTGTACTGTGGGCATTTTCTTGACTAATGATTGATGGGGGAAGGATCCAGTACACTGTGGGTGGGGCCATCCCTGGGCAGGTGGTCCTGGGTTCTATAAGAAGGCAGGCTGAGTGAGTCCTGAAGAGCAAGCCAGTAAGCAGCACCCCTCTAGAGCCTCTGCATCAGCTTCTTCCTCCAGGTTCCTGCTGCTCCATCTTCCCTCATGATGAGCTGTAGCTGTAACCCAAACAAATGCTTTTCTCCCCTAAGTTGTTTATCAGTATTTTATCACAGCAACAGAAACCTAACTAGGACATCTATGAACAGCATTTATAGTGTGTCTTAAAAGAGATTTCTTCCAAAACACCAGTCGAAAGCATGTCCGTGCAGTCTCTGGAATGGGGCATGGGTCCACCAGAAGCAACATGGGGGAGGGGGTGAGGCGGGGTGATGGAAGAAAAATGGCAGCCAAGGTCTTCAGAAGAACCAGGCTTGAAAGATGAGCCTTGGTTTATTGAGAGCACTAAGATAACGGGAAGAAACATCAACACAGACTACAGCCATCTTGTCTTGACCACCTCCCTGAATTACAAACAGCTAAAGATGGGGCATGAGGGCCTATACCATGTTCACACACACCAGGGATGAGTGGCAACAGGTGGT